CGCATTCAGAAAATATCGTTGGAAAGAAAATAAGTTTAATATTTTCTTAGGAGATTAGTGCCGGTTGTATAGTCGCGGAGAACCTAACGGGTAACCGGGGCTCCGACTCGACGTGCAGAAGAAGGAACGGGGTGGTTTTTAGTCAGTAAGAGTCTGACACTCCCTTCCGCCTCACCCAGGCGGGAGCAGTCATTCGATGATTTTCCCCCCTTAAAAAAAAAAAAGTGCCGGTTGTATCACACATTAATTGCCCTTAACGTCATAATAGATAACTTAATTAAACGAAATAAATCGACGTCGAAATAGAGATGATATAATTATTTTCTCGATTCTTGGCTGCCGATTGATGAACCGATCGCCATTTTCGACGCCAAATAGGCACTGTCAAGCACAATTTTGTTTGGAATCCTCAGCCCTAGACTATGGGTCTTTTCGCGGAGAACCTAACGGGTTACCGGGGCTCCGGCTCGACGTGCAGAAGAAGGAACGGGGTGGTTTTTAGTCAGTAAGAGTCTGACACTCCCTCCCGCCTCACACAAGCGCGAGCAGTGATTTTCTCCCCTTAAAAAAAAGACTGTGGGTCTCTCCTTTAAATATTAGATGAGCCATAATTTCTATGCTTGGCACGCGAGTAGGAAATATCATGATGATTTCCTTCTTCGAGGGTGTAACTCTGTAAGGCGGACTTGCAATTGGCGCGGCCTCACCACTCAATGCGATGAATCGGAAACGAAGTCGGTCCTCCCCCTGGTGCGAAAATATCTTTATAGACATCCAAGAAGTCGGGCAGTCGCCCTCGTTCATCTGAATTCACCCTCGCGAAGACCCACAGAAGACCAGGCGACGGTTTAAAAAATTCAAAATCCGAGAACGCTGCTCTACTATCTCTCTTTAATGTGTAGTCTGTTATTCACCTCACGGACACACTCACAGTAAAATTAAAAACATTATATTAATGTATACACTTATATTGTACACAAATGCCCAAGAACTATTAACTTCAACCGTAATATAGAATTAGAATGGTCAAATGTCAACGTGTTGTATTATCGTTCACCATGTTATGTTTATGGTTGGGCCTCACCTATCGATTATATACTGCACATTGTCTACTGTGACCTGTCACACGTAGGTATCCCTTATATTATTATAATAAAACGCTGATGTGACATGATTGTTAGTTGTAGTTAAAGAGTGGGCCACTCGCTTCTTGTTGTACACGTTTCGTTGGTGCTAACTTATTTACTTTACTTCTTAACTACCTATTAGTATGTTCTGTCAGCTGGATTAGGTTATCGAGACTTTTTTTTACATACATATATTTGATGGACCGACGTTTAACCACTATCTCGCCTGGTGGCGATGATGGGGTCTACGGAGCACGTCGTCCCATAAGCAACCTATTCACTCGAGCCTTGAAGACACCCAGGTTATACCATTCAGGATATACAGACTAAGTAGAACCTCACCTTAAAATATTAAAATCACAATGATAGCAATGAAGATTGTGGTCATAACCATGAGGATTGCACCTTAAACTTATTAATATTTTTCTTCTTCGCCTACGCCCTACAGTATTACAAAACCGATACCACCTTTTAACCGTTAAGAAGAGGGCCTACTTCTCTTTCAAGAGCTGTCAACGCATTGGGAACTCCATTGAGAGTGTCCATGGACAGTGTGAACTGCTTACCATCGGGTGGTCCGTGGACATGTTTGCTTCACTACATAGTATAAAACAAAGTCGCTGTCCGCCGTCTGTCTGTCCCTATGTATGCTTAGATCTTTAAAACTACGCCACGGATTTTGATGCGGTTTTTTTTAATAGATAGAGTGATTCTTAAGGAAGGTTTATATATACATACAATACATGCATATTGCACCCGTGCGAAGCCGGGGCGGGACGCTAGTTACTATATAAAAAACAGATACAACTACTAAAAAGAAGGGAACATTTACAAAACTAGCTAATATCGTTGTAAAACTAGCTGACATGTATCTAAGATCATGTTGTTATGCATAACATCGCGGGTTAGGGTCAAGAACGCTGCTATCTATCATTGATATAAATATTCCAATCGCTATAGGGTTTCATAGATACTTACTTTGCTTATAAAATCGTCATTAAATAGGTTATGATAAGTGCTAGGATTATTCCATCAATATAGGTCATGTGACAGTGGTTTTGAAATGCTTGTTATTCTTTAAGAAACTATGCGTATCTAGCTTAGGTACTTGGAGTACATCGTCTTGCAAACAGTATATTGTTCTTAATATTGTAATAGTAGTAACTTAACGGGTTACCGGGGCTCCGGCTCGGAGTGCAGGAGTAGGAACGGGGTGGTTTTTAGTCAGTAAGAGTCTGACACTCCCTCCCGCCTCACCCAGGCGTGAGTAGTTATTCAATGACTTAAGGTGGGAACCTTAAAAAAATATTGCAATAGTGACGATAACAAACTTGAGCAAGGTTGGTGATCAATGCTCATACGTTCTCCGGGTGAGACTAGGCCTTTCCTGAGCAGTGGACAAGCATTAGCTTACTAGTTTCGAACCACAAAGGGGTTCTTCCTCATTGTGCGCGGTCGCGGCGATGTCGCACAGCCTACTGAGGAAGAACTCTTCTGTGGTTCGAAACTAGTAGAGCTTTCTCAGTATATTCACGTGAGTAACCCGATTTTGGGTTAATTTAGTATATCTCACGGTAGTTATTATAAAAACAAGGCATTAGTCTGTAAACAGCCACCAATAAATCGTTCCACTAATGAAACAAGACAACCGGTGTCAGATTTTGAGTGTCTCACTAGCCGTAATGTAATGAGTTTTCCAGGCGTTCGTTTAATGCCCAGTAAAAAGTCTCGACTTACATAGCATAGTTAATCTAAATATTTACAAATCTTACTATCCGATTAATCTTATAAATTCGAAAGTTTGTGAGGTCTTATTATGTTTACCTACGTGTTAAACTTTCACGCAAAAACTGCTCCGTGAATCTGAATGAATATTTGCACAGAGGTAGTCTGAACATAACATAACATCACGCCTTTTATCCCTGAAGGGGTAAGCAGAGGTGCACATTATACCACTGTACAATGTAACACCCACTTTTCACTATTTATGTTATGAGTCCCATGTAATAGGGGGTGAGCCTATTGCCGGGCACAATTCCAGACTCCGTGTTACTACTGAGAATATTTAAATCTTTTTACCCAGTGATAGTCTGCCCGACCCGGGAATCGAACCCGAGTCCCCTTGTCCCCGAGTCGCACGTACGACCACTCAGTCTTTTAATATGCAGTGCTGTGCATTGGGAGAAACAAAACAAAAGTTTATACCAATGTTACTATTACTTAATCATATCAGTCAGAACGGCTGACGGCTCCGATTTTAGGCCTGAATAAAGCTAGCCTTATTCGAGTACCGCCAGTGAAACCGCTGACTGCTACTAGTAATACTGACATCTCAGTACAAATACTACGATTTTACTGAGAAAATTTAACATTAGATACAAGAATAGATGTAATAAGTGTGATAAAACGTTATTATTATATAATAATAATGGTCTCCGACAGAATTTTACGACGTTCGAAGCGGACGCCCGCGTCGGTCGTGTGAACTGACGCAGTTATGTGTTTGGGAAGTCATTGTTGTACTAAACTTATTATAATACGTATTTATTAATTAATATGTTGTTGCTAAGAGCGGATAAGAAAACTAACTTGTGTGTGTGTTCAAAATGCAAGGTTGTTCGTAGAAAACGTATATACGTAGAAACTTTCAAGTCCAAATACATGAAAACTACTTAACAGATTTGAATAAAAATTGGTATTCATACGCAAAATATAAAGGTTTAAATAGTTAGTAAAAAGATTCCAAAATATTCTTGTCATCATGTCATCAACAGCCTATAAATGTCTACTGCTGAGCAAAGCCTCTTCTCACACGGAGAAGGTACGCTTCTCAATGCGGGTTGGCGATTACAAACTTATAATTCGCAATTATAAGCCCAGGTTTCCTCACGATGTTTTCCTTCACCCTTTGTCAGTGGTGTCTGAATAATCTTAGAAAGTACATACAACTCGGAAAATGTCACATTGGTACTTGCCGTTGGTAGGTTTCGCACCCTCACGCATGAGATGCAGGCGTTTTAACCTCCGGGCCACCACGACAAAATATTCTTAGAACTTTTCTAAAGGAGAAACATTTTATAGAATTGTTTTGTTCGTCAATTGTTTTTCTTTTTTTTGTCTTGTGTGAACTTTTAAATTTGTTACGGTGCGTCCACACTAGCGAATGGGTCCCTCGCGAGGATCTCACGAAATGCGAGCATTTGCCAGAGTGTAGACGCACTATTAATAAAAACTATGTAGTATAAATAATAGGTCTGTAATCAGTGTATGATTCCGAGTACAATACACATTGTTTTAATTTTGTATACATATGTAGACCGTGGTTATTAAGTATGTTCTACTTTATAGCACAGATAACAATTGATTGATTATTTGGAGCTAATATTTACGTATTGTAGAACTTAACGTACTTGTGACTCGTTGGACGAATACTGAGGCCTTAGTACGAGTTTTTTTACGTTAAAACGAGTAAGCGTTCGGCGCTCTGATTGGCCGGCTCCAATGAACCAACCAATCAGACCGCCGAATGCAGTCTCATCTCGATTACTTTTAATGTAAAACAAACTGGTACTAAGGCCTCTGGTTAGTCCGACTGCCGAGCTAAACGCCTTGGGATGTGGATTCCCCAAAGATTTCAATAACAAGATTGTATGGAGTTCGGAATTGTGTCCGGTGCGTGTGGTAAATAACTAACAAGGACTCAGTATATTAGGTATCTCTCAAGGATTTAAAAGCGTCACCTAATGCTATGTGTATTAAACAGAAAATGGTCTTTGGATCAATCTCCGGAGGAATACATTTTCCTCTCACTTTTCATAGTTGTACATGTTCTGAACCTTTTAGAGCCTAATCAACCTGTTGTATTTGTTGCAGCTCAAAAGACGATGAAATTGATGGTAACTGCATAGTCCGCGCCCGTGGTCTGCCTTGGCAGTCTTCAGATCAAGACATCGCCAAGTTCTTCAGAGGTCTCAATGTTGCAAAGTAAGTTGTCCACATAATTATAAACCGTGACCGTCTACCGCTGGGACTACAGACCTCTTCTCAAAGAATTGCAAATTAATAGATAGATGTGTGTGATCCACAGATTTTTGTTCAGAGTCTGGGTGTCATGTGTATGTGAACTTGTATGTTTGTAAACGCACCCACGACACAGGAGAAAACCCTAATGCGGAGCGACGTCCTGATAGTAAGCAATCGGCGCCGCCCGTAAACCATGGAACACCAGAGGCGTTACAAGTGCTTTACCGGTATTTTAGGAATTGGGAATTTGAGTATTGGGGATCGGGAATTTGAGTATTGGAGATTGGGATTGGGGATTCGGGGATTGGGGAGACTGCGGGGTTAATGAGGCCTCTTGTAACTACACTCACACGACGACACGGTAATCAGTAAAAGTCTGACACTCGGTCTTGCTTAACCCAGGGCGAGAGAAGACATTCGACGATTTTCCACCTCAAAGAAAATTCCATATAAGATTTTGACATTTGACAAGAAGATGACCTATCTATGGAAATAATTAATGGTTTAATGGTAGCTACATATCCTAATGCCTTTTTTAATTCTCCAGGGGTGGAGTAGCTCTGTGTCTCTCGCCTCAAGGGAGACGTAACGGCGAAGCGCTGGTGCGGTTCGTGTCTCAGGAACACAGGGACATGGCGCTCAAACGACATAAGCACCATATCGGCTCGCGGTACATTGAGGTAAGGACTTTATTTTGTAGTTGATAGGGTTGAAATATAGTATATTGCATGATGAGCTGCTATACTTTTGACATACTTTAGTACATTTCTAAGTTTTTGCTAGAGAATGTACTATGGAGGTTGTAGGCTGATTTATTGTGCATAAGCATGTAATGTAAATAGCATTATTATCTGAATGTCTTTCAAAGAGACTTTTCACCTCTAAAATCTTAAAAGAGAAGAAAATGAGACACATTTGTAAGACTCTTAATTTTGGCAATATTTTTTAGTCTTGTTGACTTTAATTAGACTAACCAATCTGGGGATCAGACCCAGAACTTTATACTGGCGTAGCGTACGTAACTATGCGGCAGCGCCAGAAAATGATAGAGTTATCAAGTTTGACCTAACAACCTTTATCATTTTGACACAATTTTAATAGAGATTTAAACAAAATCTGGACCATCAAAAGAGAGAATTGGCTGATCTGACCAATAATGAATGCCTATTAATTACGATTAAACCCCTCTTATGTAGAGGTGGCGCGGGTAACAGTGGGCTATTACGGATAGTACATATGAAGGCGAAGTAATCTGACAGAAAGTGTCAAATTCATCTATGACTTTTTTACTAGATAAATATTATTTAATCTGTTGTAGTCCCTAAGGGAACTGCGAAAAGAGACAATCTAACGTTTTATTAAACTACTTCTAAGGCCTTATTTTTCCAACGCAAGATACTTAAATTTTATCAAAGAAATAACTTTGAATGTTTGACAATTTTTCCATTAGGACCGAATTTTTAAATCGTCAGTTAATTCTTAACTATGGAATAAAATTGACATTTGACAGTTTTTAGCACGGAAGAATTATTGTCAAATATTCAAAATAATTTGTCAGTTAAATTCGTTGTAAAAACCGGTTCCTAAAACCGTCAAATGTAAATTTTATTATTTTTATTCTACAATCAAACGTTATTTTATGATTGATCCTGTTAGACTAGGCTATCCTGCATAGCTCCTATGACCTTCACCATAGACAGATAATAAGTCACAGCACTATTTCCATTTATCCAGGTGTACCGTGCAAGTGGCGAGGATTTCCTGTCAGTGGCAGGGGGCGCCACCTGCGAGGCGGCTGCCTTCTTATCCCGGGGAGCGCAAGTCATCGTGCGGATGAGAGGACTGCCCTATGATGCTACACCTCAGCAAGTTGTAAGTTTTCATTATTTCATACGTAAATTTAATTCTTTTTGCTGCTGGCTTTTTTATGAGGTAACGAGCAGACGGATCACCTGATGGTAAGCAATCAGCGCCGGCCATGGACACCTGAAAGGCGTTAAATGTGCGTTACCGACCTTTTGTAGTTGGGAATTTGAGTATTTTCGGGGATTCGGAGATTGGGTGAATGGGGGGAGGGGTAAAATTAGACCTTTCCTAGGTATGTCAGGTAGGTACTGTCATAATCATAAATGATGGTAAAACAACTGCGAAACTGATGGTATAATAAAATAAATAATACTTTAGTATAATGTATATCACGATCTTTAGTGACCCGGAAAGATACATAGAAGCCGCCATATTGAATGTAACAATTACTTTTCAGTTATTTAGATAGGAGTATTTAAAATATCTTATCTTCTAAAGATCTTTAGATCTCTACGAATCAACAGACAATAGAAGCCTTAATACAAGTTTGATTTATGTTTAAAGCTCTGATTGGTCGGTTTATTGGAGCCAGCCAATCGGAGCGTCGAACGCGGTCTCATTTCGATTACTTTAAAAACGTAAATCAAACTTGAAGATACTAAGTTCTCAGATCTTTCCCTGCGGATAAAAGGACCAAAATGGTCCTTTGCGATTTGATTACCCACTCTGTCTGCTTATAATAATTATATTAAAAAGTCTATATTTATAATAATTATATTAAAAAGCCAAACAACAAGATATTATACAAAAGACTGTTGTTTTCTAAAAGTGCTTATAAATGCTTAGTTTTAAAATAACATTTCGCAAACGTAAATTCTAAACAAATGACGCTACAAAGCTGTCGACCAATCAGAAGGCGTCTGAATGATAACAGATACTTAATAAAATGTTTTATAATGTTGAATACTTTTACACCACGCCCTAACCTCTTAGGTTAGGTTGACTTGATTAGGAATAGGAGCTGAGCTGACAACTACTTATCTAATGTGCTTTAATACAATTTTGTATTTAGTTACGCCCTGCGATTTTACTCGAAGTAGGCACACACGGCCTCACAGAAGACCGACGTGAAACAACGTTGTTTCGTTGTGTGAGGAGGCCCAATTAACCCCCCCCCCTTTCCCCAATCCTTGAATCCCAACAATCCTCAAATTCCTAATCCCAAAAGGCCGCTAACGCACTTGTAACGCATCTGGAGTTCCGGGTGTCCATGGGCGACGCCGATTGCTTACCATCAGGTCTGCTCGTTCACCGGTTTGTCCCATAAAAAAAATCCCCGGTATGAGTGGAAAATGAGTGCCATAACAGAGAGCATAGAAGAATAAAGGAATTTTAAATCATAAAAATAAACAACGAAATGTGTCCGTATTGCATTTGTTTCTAACTCCATAAGACTCATAATATAATTAGTGAAAAATGAATGTTAGTTGCTCAGCGTAATGCTAAAATGGCGGTCCTTGATCGCAAACCTTTTTTGTCTATATCATTGTCCTTTTTAACAAATCGTTTTAACTGTACAGTCGAACTGTACAGATTAATCGTAGATCCATACAGTTTATACACCTTACGATATAACAGTACAGTTCAACTGTACAGCTACCTAAAACGAACTTAGTTAGTTAGTATTATTTGTTGTTGTTCTTATGTTTTTGTCTATGTTAGTTGGAACACATACATTATTCTGTTAGATATTCCTTTCTTTGCTCCTCCCCTTTCTGAGAAAACGCTATAAATCCACTGTACTTAATTACATAGAAATAAAGTTAAAATTACCTTAACACCTACGTATCTATTTGCAGCTTGATTTTTTCTCAACGGGCGAGAATCCAGTAATGGTGCTGGATGGAGCTGAAGGTGTATTGTTCGTACGTCGAGCTGATGGAAGGGCTACTGGGGATGCCTTCGTTCTCTTTGCCAAGGAAGATGACGCGCCCAAGGCGTTATCTCGACATCGCAAGTCTATAGGAGCTCGATACATCGAACTGTTTCGGTCTACTACGGCTGAAGTTCAACAGGTAAGGGCCTTATAAAAAAACTGTCGTTTACCCGTGGTTTTGTTCGCGTGAATTTTAACCTTTATTCGTTTCTGAAGTTTCAACTATGTATGTACACTTGACCCCAAAGAAACGGAGTCATAAGTTAGCGTTGTTTCTTTCTCATATCTCGATAAATATTATGTGATACAAATATTTTATAAATTGGTACCATATGTTATATAAAAGGGAATTTAGTTACCTTTAAAATGAGAGTGTTTTGTTGTAATAGGAATATTCTCTTTTTAAGTTACAGAGGGTTCGATAAAATGAAAAAAAAAACGCGAGTCGATACCATAATTAATATTAATTTATTGAGTTTTGCTTTAACATTTCCCTGGCTTTGTACAAGAACTAAGCAGCTATGTCATTCTAATTACTGATTACAGTATAATTACTACATAATATTTTTCCATTTTCCGTTAAGATATGGCTAACTAATAACTTTATCGATTAGGCTTAGGAATTGACACGTCATTAACTATAAAATTAAATCAATTAGTTGCTACATGCGATGGAAAAATCTCGCTATAATAGGAACAAAGAAACAGCTATATTTAACAGCATGGCCGATATAACCATGGTTGTAACTATAACATTAGCCGATCTTAATCTGGATCTATACTTTTTAACAAAAGCCTTCATATTTCTATCAAAGTTTTGATCATTTTGAGCTAACTAATGTCAAAAACTGATTAGGTACTTATAATTAATATATTTTGGATCGAAATAATTTATAATATTGGATTGACATTGCATTGACATTGAAATTATAATTATCTAGTAAATAATTGGAATAAATATATGCAATTTAAAATATAAATAACTAAAAACTAAAATATTTACACCTTAAAAAAGTAATAATAATAATAAAAATACTATCTTAAGGCATAAAAAAATTGGTTATTAACTTATTATTATTAATTTCAATCATTCTAGTATTAAATGTCTTCATACAAAAAGAATGTCAGTTTACTTACACAAGAAAGGACGTAAACCAAACACGCTAGGAAGTTCTCTTCCAATCTACTTACTATCTATACTTCGCTACTGATAACCTTTTGACTCGCATACAATGAAGCACAAAGACCAATAGAACGATCTGTAATAGTTTATAAAGTAACCTTAAATGTACAATGGTTTACTATTTAGGAATTATGTCAATGGAATGAAGCTTTAATAAGACCTAGAAATAAGTAATAAAACAGCTCATATTCATGAGTAGCGTTCCGCGACCTATCACTAGGTACATAATATAAAACAAAGTCGCTATCCGCCGTCTGTCTATCCCTATGTATGCTTAGATCTTTAAAACTACGCAACAGATTTTGATGCGGTTTTTTATAATACATAGAGGGATTCTTAAGGAAGGTATTATACGTATAATACATACATATTGCACCGGTGCGGGTCGCTAGTAGTGTATAAGTTAATATTTTAGGACAAGAAGAAAATGACTCAGTTTTTAACAGCATGTGGTCTGATGGCGACGCACCGTACGCTCGTCTGGTTCTGATGCCTTAGTACGAGTTTGTCTTACGTTTAAAGTAATCGTAACGAGTACGCGTTCAGCGCTGTGATTGGTTGCTTCATTGGCGCCGGCCAATTAGAGTGCCGAACGCGTACTCGTTACGATTACTTTAAACGGAAAACGAACTCGTACTAAGGCCTCTGGGTGCTTACTCTCGAAAACAATCTCAATGTCAATGCAATTTCAATCCAATAAAATCTCAATAATTATTCAATGTTAACACTATACCACCCCTATCGTAGCTGTTAAAATAGCATTCAGAGTATGGAATATAAAGCCAAACTCAATACCATTTAGTTCATTCAATATCCACGCAATACGTATGCAAAGGGTGCTAGTGTTGCAGCTCAAGAGTCCGAAATTTCACTATACCAATGTCGATCGATCGGAATTGGATTCAAGAGTAAGCCCCCTGGTCGGGCTGCAAGCTACCCATGCTCGGTTCATCTCGATGAAGGATGCCTCCGCGATCTCTTGCCTTTAGTGTTGCTCTATAATCAGCTTCTCCAGGTTCTTCTGCGGAAATTGAAATAAAATTCCTTTAATTATATTATGCAAGTACTTACTAATGAATCAGTTTGCACCAATGCTATGCAGGCAGGTAGCTGCCGCCTAATGCGTGCGCTGCTAATTTCTAGCATTTGAGATAACATTGTACGTATTATAATGGTTACAAGTCAATGCTTAGCTAGACTTCATTATTTGTTTATTCAGTACTTGCTAAGGTACCTAGCTCTCATTTGTTTTTTGTAGAATGCCTTGAATCTCTGTAGATATATTGTTTGCTATATGGAATATACATACAACCTCATCGATAGACTGACGGACTGACATATTTTTTTTAATTTAAATATTTCTTTATGGCGTTTAAAAGTGCCTTCCTGGTCTAATAAATGACTTACATTGTGGAGAGTATGAGGAACTCCCTTATGTAGAGGAGGTCCATTATAGTGTTTCGGTAAAATGTCGATATAGAACAAATGACTAAATGATTGAAAAATGAGTAATTCCATGAAAGAAGAAATAATAAAAATATCTTTTAATAGCGGAAATGGAGATACAGACGTACACTAAATGAAAGTAACACGTAATATTTTCGACTTAAGTTTGTGAGTCCCAAGGAGATTCAACTACACATCACTACATAGTATAAAACAAAGTCGCTATCCGCCGTCTGTCTGTCCCTATGTATGCTTAGATCTTTAAAACTACGCAACGGATTTTGATGCGATTTTTTTTAAAGATAGAGTGGTTCTTAAGGACGGTTTATACGCACATCCGTGCGAAGCCGGGGCAGGTCGCTAGTAATAAATATAACACCTATTTTACGCCTGTCATGTTGTGTGTCCCGTCCTATCTAAAAAAGGGCAAGCCCCAATTCCAACCTCTATACTTATTACTGAAAATATTAAAAGCTAAATAACATTTTGCCTGACTCGAGAAACGAGGTTTTTCTTACTCAACAGTTGCGCTTGCAACTCGACCAACAACAGTCTGTTACCTAACTTTATCTAGAATTTACGCTACGTGCTCTTTACGATAACATTGACGTTGAACTAAGTACCCAGTACCTGTATACTTAGTACTTAGATTGCCTACGACCTGAATAAGAAAGTTCAGATTCAACTACGGCTTCATGACACTGTGAAGCTATTCATGTGAATCTAACGATATATCGTTGACTGACAGATTTTCGACTTTATCTCAAAAATAAAATAAAGTTTAAAATTTAAGTTCAGGTTCAACTACGGCTTCTATGACACTGCCCTTGTGAATCTAACGATATATCGTTGTTCTACTGACAGATTTTCGACTTTATCTCAAAAATAAAATTTTAAAATCAAAAATTTAAAATTTAAGTTCAGTTTCAACTACGGCTTCTATGACCCTGTGACACTTTTTTCCGAATCTAACGATATATCATTTTTTTACTAACAGATTTTCGACTTTATCTCAATAATAAATTAAAGATTAAAATCGATTAAAGTGGTTAATATAAGATAAAAAGTACTTATTTTGTTGAAGCCGTAACTACTACATATTGCATAGTTCCACATTGGATCTGATATGGGGTTTAAGTCTGAAAAAGTTAAAAATATGAGATACCAATCCTTATTTCGTTTCTGACTCTACCAAGATCGTTTTCATTCGGACCCAGAGGGCTTAGTACAAATTTGTTTACATTTAGTGAGATCGAAACGTAACCGTGATCGGCATTCTGATTGGCGGGCTCCATAGAACCAACCAATCAGATGGCGAAACGCGGTCACGTTTCAATCTCATAAAATGTAAAACAAAATCGTACTAGGCCCACTGAACACGATCATAAAGAACAATACCTCAGCCCTTGGTTTATCTGTGGTCATAATACTGCAATCATAGACTATAGAGTTAACCACAAACAATCACATGAAAATGGCGGTTTATGTTAAACAATATAATTTGAAAACATTACTGTTGATACTGTGGTACTAAGTAGATAGTCAAGGTTTTTGTGACAATTTTGTTTCAATACGGTTCAAGGTTCAACTTCTGAGACGGGTAAAGCATTTGGACTTGTGAACTGCAATATAACTTTATGATGATGAAATGATATTAATAAAAATTACCTAACTATTTTTAACTTCCATGGCGTATATTGAGTACATGCCAACTACTAGTCAAATTCAATACTTTTTTCGAACCGTCAAAAACGACAGTTTTCTATGAATTGTCTTTAGCGTCAAACAACATACTTATTTCTTATAGTACGAGAGATGACGACCAAAACCATGTCTCATAGCAATACGGCAAAAACCGTATGTTCGTATCGTTAGGTTGTATGATTCTGAACCCGACTAGGTGTGTAGTAAAGGTCGAAAGTGTAGCAACTGCGTGGGAGGTCATTTCTGCTGTGTCAAAAATATCTGAGTATCGAAAAGTTGTTTGATAGAGAAGGTGCTACACTTATTTTGTCTGATATACATTTTTTGCACATGTGGACAACTTATTTTATCACGTCCAGCAATTTTCAGACATATTGCCATGATACCGATCGGTAAAATTTGTTAACATTTTTAAAACGATCTCAATATTTAATGCGTTCACATTTCCGTCTGAAAATTGTTTTGTTCGCATCAAATAACCAAAATTTACTAATAAAAAAGGTTTTCAGACGTATTGCTATGAGACATTTTTTTTGTCTGGTGTTTTTGTGGTCAGATCAAACGCTACGCGGAAAATGTCTGATATTGGTATTTTCGAGTTCAGGATAATCGTACCTATCTATCGATTTGAAGCGGTTTTGGCTATGATGACGGCGGATGGCAACTTTATTTTATATTATGTAGTGATAATAAGTATATAATATTATTATGTATTATTAAATAACAGGTGCCTACATAAAATATGCTATAGTATTGTAAGAAATATTAAACACAATATTTCATGAAACATTTTTGTCTTAGCCTGCCTTTGGTATATACGGTAAGTACATAACTTTAAGTGCTCGTTAGTCCGATGCGCTTACGATGATTCGTTCCGCATTGCACAAGGCCTTTTGACGACACGTGTATCAACGTAGATTTTTGCACAAATATCGTAATACACATAACATCACGCCTTTTATCGCCGAAGGGGTAGGCAGAGGTGCACATTACGGCACCACATGCCACTGTACAATGTAACATTACACCCATTTTTCACTATTTTAAGTTATGAGTCCCATGTAATTGGGGGTGAGCCTATTGCCATATACCGGGCACAATACCATACTCCGTGCTATTACTGAGTTTTCTTAAAAAACCCAGTAATACTTTGCCCAACCCGGGAATCGAACCCGAGACGCCTTGCCCGGCAATCGCATCACGTATTAAATTTCGTGATAATGCATAATAATTAATAGATATTGACTGCCTCGTTGGCCGAGTGGTCGCGAGTGCGACTGCCGGGCAAGGGGTCTCGGGTTCGATTCCCGGGTAGGGCAAAGCATTACTGGGTTTTAAAAAAAAATGTCAGTAGTAGCACGGAGTCTGGAATTACATGGGATTCATAACATAAATAGTGAAAAGTGGGTGTTACTTCTGTGTGCACCTCTGCCTACCCCTTCGGGGATAAAAGGCGTGATGTTATGTTATTAATAGATATACAATAAATTGAACTTATCTACCTTTTTCGAGGTAAATCTTTGAATCAATTACTGACTATTTTAAGTTATTTTGTATGTCGTTAAGATCCCTTAACCATTATTTATGATCATAAGGAGTAAGAATCTAAGCTATAATTAATAGAAAAATTAGCCTACCCACCTACAGGAAAAAAAAGTAATTATAAATAATATCAACACAGCGAGAGTACGCCTAATAATACCGCAGCGCCATCTATGATCGGCAAAAATATCAATCAAAACTATCTTAACAATACGAATTATAGTCTTTTATCTTTATAATATTGCATTGTAATGTTTAGAAATGATTTTTCCTAACACTGATACTCTAATACTTTTATATTATCTAATTAAAACGATAAAATACAATTTAGCATACAATGTAGCTTACTCATGCTTGGTAGGTACTTATATGTATAATTATTATTTGTCGAAAAAATAATCGAAAACAGATACGATATGTCTGTGTTATTTTGCACTGAATAACTATTTAGCGTTTTTTTAATATTGTCAGCAAATTATATTATGTTTAATGCTGAATAATGATATAGGTTCTTATGTACTAAGTAATTCACTTACATTGATCATTGGACTTACCTTTTAACACGTGATTAAAGTAATATACAAAAGGAATTCAAAAAACTACGCACCTTCACACTAACAAGGAATACACGGCGCGTATTCCTATCCATTTATCCCCTATATCCATTTACTATTGGAATGGCGAATGACGGTGCGACAACGCGACGCCTGCGCGGCGCATACGTTTATCGAACGCCTAGCTATGCTAGACACACGCTAGTGTAAAGATGGTTTAAATTTCAAATATTAAAACACTATATTTAAAAATGTTATACACAGTATAAATATACTCTGTGGTATTATCTACATCTTGTCCTTATACATTCTACTTAGTTATGTTTATTTTGTTAATGTGTTTTTTTTATTTTTTACTGTGTCTACTTTTAGTGTATTAGTTCTTATGTTTTTTATATACCACGATATGCAAAATAGCACACGGTCCACCTGATGGTAAGCGGTTACCGTGGCCTATGTACGCTTGCAACACTTGGGGCATTACATGCGTCTTGCCGACCCTTCAAAACTCTATTCACTCCCTCTTAAACTGTCAAACACCAAGCGGACACCGGTGACCGCAACCTATTGTTCTATAATTGTGTCTATAATGACGGTACTCGACGAGTTAAAGAACCCCGTGTTGTAGAGTTGTAGCCCACAGGAAAAAGCACGTTCATTCCACAATCGGAGAGTCTGTGGGAGGAAATTCCTCTGAAACCGAACTGTACGGTACCATTTTGGCTAGAATGTTTGTGCGTGGAGCATTTAGTACGAGTTTTTTGACGTTTAAAGTAATCGAAGCGAGACCGCATTGCGCGCTCTGATTGGTTATTTCATTGTAGCCCGCCAATCAGAGCGCCGAACGCGGTAACGTTTTGGTCTCAGTTAAACGTAAACAAACTCGTTTAAGCCCTCTGATCTGTATATGTGTCCTCCTGTATACTGTCTGTGTGTTGTGCCTACCGAAACATACAAATAAAATAAAATAAATCTAACCATGGTCCTATTATCCGCAGGTTTTAAATAGGTCCCTAGAGACCCGTACGAGCCAGTCCAGCACGCCTTCCACTGCACCTACTCCAGCTGAAGGTCTCCTGCCCGTAGCCTTAGTGCCCCAGCATGTCATCACATCTGGAACCGCTAAAGACTGCGTCCGACTAAGGGGCTTGCCTTATGAGGCGCAAGTAAGTAACTTAAGAAAATTAAGGATAGAAAAAGGTGGATTTTAGTAGTGAAAGCTGTTGGGAAGTAATCGGCGTCGCCCATGGACACACGCAACACTAGAGGTGTTACAAGTGCGTTACCGGCCTTTTGGAGATTAGAAATTTGTGGATTGTTGGGGATTCAGGGATTGGGACGATTCGATTGGGAGGGGGGAATTGGGCCTCCGGTGACCTCACTCACACGACGAAACACAACGCAAGCGTTGTTTCAAGTCGGTTTTATGTGAGGCCGTGGTATCACTCTGGTCAAACTTTTCAAAAGAAACCTTAGATTCGCTGTTTAAAATGGTTCTTTAATGCTACGAGGAGTAAAATACTAGCGTAGGTACCTACTTACGGATCTAAAACCCCAATGAATTTTGACCAGTTATAATTATCGTGTAATAGAGGTGGATTTGCCATATACCGGGCTAAATCTAGATCACAAGGTCTACTAACATTTATGACTGAAAAAAAACAGAACTAAAAATCCAGAGCTCTGGTCTTGAACTGAGAATTTTGGTGCTAGAAGGTTCAATAGGGGGATATTGAAGGTTGCTTATCTAAACAAGGATCTCTGATAAACTCATTCATTATTTTACTTTATATTTCCAGGTGGAACACATACTGACCTTCTTGGATGAGTTCGCCAAGAACATAGTGGTGCAAGGCGTGCACATGGTATACAATGCTCAGGTTAGTCTTTCTGTTCGTTTGTTACACTTGTTATATATAAATAACTGATTATGGAGAATTTTTACCCAAGAAGAAAATTAATATTTAGGAGCTTGAAGAGAAATCGTATCGTTTTGATCGATATTATCGAACTGTATATTCTCTCGGTTTAACTTGCACTTGCAAAAGCAAAAAATTGGTACGTTTGGACCAATTTCAATGTAATTTATAAATTCCAACTTACCGATGTATTTTTTTCCTAGAAGATTTTACCAGACAAAGCTGTTTATGAGACTTTCATCATGGGTCTAACGATCCAACTTTACTAAAACCTGGTACTTATATTCTACGACAGGGTCACCCCAGCGGCGAAGCATTCATCCAGATGGACAGTGAAGCGAGCGCCTTCCTCTGCGCGCAGCAGAAACACCATCGATACATGACCTTCGGCAAGAAGCAGCGGTACATTGAGGTATATAGTATTCTATTCATTTAAATACTAAAATAAGTAGAAAATCTTTCTTTTTATGCTGGTTATTGATGGCACCTGCGGTTTAGAAAATCGTTCACTTGTGATGTTTCATGATTCAACACATGAAATGCAAATCATGCAACGTTGCCAGTACAATATTAAAATTTGTGTTCAGTGCAGTTATCCTCAGGATTTTAAAGCCCCTCTTAAAGCTGAACTGGCGAATTGTTGTGGAGACTTTTATGTGACAGCAAACTGTGGTACAGGTGTTCCAGTGTTCCGGCGACGACATGAACCTGGTGCTGACGGGCGGCGTGACGCCGGCGACGTCCCCGAAGGTGTTGTCCCCCGGTACGTTGGTGTCCCCCCCGCCGCCCGCGCCCGCGCCCCGCCTGCTGGCGCAGCAGATCGCGCACCAGAGCCTCCTCGCGCGCCAGCACGAGAACCTCCTCCTCGCCTCCCTCCGCCCCCCCATCGTCCCCATCCTGCCCACGTACGCGGCCGTCCGCTCGCAGACCCCGGCCGCACAGGCCTACCAACTGCCCCAAATGTCGCAGATGCTACAACAGCAGACGATGCTGCCAACCAAACGGTCTTATGAGCGCGCCTTCCAGCCCACAGAGGCGACGCCCGCAAAGAGGCCATATGCCATGCCGCCTCATATGACTCCTGCTTTGTCTCTGCCAGTTTTCTCTTACGGCACGTCGGCTCCTATATTCTCTTACGCGAACACGAGTCCTATGTTGTCGACGTACAATACGTTGCCGACCGCTTTGCCGACCGCCTTGCCGGCGGGGTACGGGTCTGCGCTGTCCGCGGCTCTGCCAGGGTCCATGACGACGCCCTTCCCTACGCTGTCCATGTTCCCCACGTACCCGTACTACCCGGGCGTTTAAATTGAGATAGAGAAGTAGATCGTCGTGCCTGTCAAATGCCGAATTAACTACGCGTTTTAAACGCAGCGTCTTGTTACGAAACAACGCAAATAAAAATAAACTAAAATTAACGCAATTTCTAAACATTACCGGTTCGCGGTACCGTTGGTAAGTGGTACGGTTCCACATAAACATACAATGGCTTGCTACTTCCATAGTTAGGTTACGCAGAAAAATAGTTGATAACTCATGAACTAACACCATTAAACTCGCACTTCTTTATTACAAAACGTAGTTTACAATTCTTTTAACTATATTTTGTAAGAAGAGTGACAAAACTGAGTACAATAGTCAACTAACTTGCTAAAACAAGAGTACCTGAGGGGAAATAATAGTTAAAATAAAGAATAACTAACCAATAGTTTAAACGCCTTATTATAAGTCTAAAGTCGCAATAACTTGCGTTGCGTCAAAATCGCAGCTACGTGTGCGTTACGACAGCTAGACCAAGTCACAAAAATGTCTATAAAAAATGCGGAAAATAATCTACCATAGTTATACAGGACGGATGTAAAATTTAAGACAATGTATAATTTTTTGAGGATTTGGCATTAACTCGGCAAGAAACAGGGTAGATAAAATGACATTCGACAATACGCTCAGGAGTGTGAAGTGCCTTCGCTATTTTTACGATATTTTTAGGTTATAAACATGAATTTACTACAAAAATAAGTTTAAAATCTATAAAGGCAGTTATTAAGCAGCTCGATATTGATAGGTTTAGTACTTACTTAATATACTTGTTGAATTTATTACTTGACTTTAAATATTGTTGAACTCTCATTTTCATATTTTTAATTATGATTAAGTGAACCAGAGGTTGTTAATCAATGACAAGTTAGTTGTATGATTTATTTTACGTTTTTAAGTTCGGGGCTGCCATTTAATATCTACTTAATTTTTATTTTAGGAAGAAACTATTTAGAAACGAATCAATAATGAACATTTTAATAATTTTATTAATTTTAATGTTGGACTAAAAAAATGATCAAAATTATTCGAAGTTCGTAAGGAGACGTTGTAAATCCAATATGGCAGCCCCAAAACAGTGTGATTAGATGTCGTTGTGATTTTTAAATATTACACATTCCATTATAAAAAGACAATGTTTTGCCAATTTTTTGAAGGCTGATCTTTAAAGTCTGAGAAAGTGTTAGGTACTTATTGTCGTATGAAGCTCATGTATTGCACAAAACACACTTAAATCAAGAGTAAAATTAATTATATTATATATTATTATTAATGTTTGTTTTTAAAGATTACAGCTTAATTGTGGCAACTAAATATAAATACTCGACAGTAATGAAATATAGCACAACAAAAGTTCGTTAAAAATACTGAACATTATCCTGTCATGTACTTTATTAGATGCTAGCACAAGTTACCCCATTCGTTTTTATTAACATCTTGACTAATTATGAGACATTAAAAATATATTGTCTTGTGCCGAGATTTAAATGATCCGGCAAACCAAGGAGTAACATCTGTTATAAAACAAGATTTTAGACAATCTGGTGGTAATTTGACTTTAAATTCATTACATTCCAAGTATAAGTACCTAATATCAATTGATACAGTTGCAGTATATTTGCTTCGCGACTTATATTTAAGTTCTATAAATGTTAAGTTACTTAAAGTTTTGTTTTTGTTTGTTTGAGTACAATGCGTGTGTACACTTTGTGCTTAGTTTACACGTTTTTTTTTAATTATAGTGTTTTTGCTACCATAGTCATACTCTGAAACCATATGCAAAATGAATTGATCTTTTCGTATTTTCAATCGGCTTCAGTTCTACTTTTTGCGAAAATAATAATATATTATTATATTTTACATGTATTTAAATAAATGTACTAAATCGCGTATACATGCTTTTTTTATTTTAAATCTTATCTAAAAGAGCTTTTCATTATTTTATTATTTAGATGTACTTAGCTAAAAAACACCCGTTCGAAAAAAGAATCGTTAGAAATCAATATAACACAAACTTTAATTTATTATAATATAAGATCTATTTTGAAATAATAAAAAAAATGTAATCGTTTCGACAACTGTTAAAAATAATTTTATATAAATTTAAGTTCATTTTAAATATTTTAGGACGGCCGCGGAATCCTATAAATTTCCCATTCCTTCCCCTTATTATACAGTCCAAATTTTACAATATTATATCACAAAATAACCCACGGTTATATCACTTAGCTTAACCTCATCGTCTGTACCTCACACCACATAGTATAGTCTACATTAAAATTATAATTTACTGCTACTAATTTGGTTTATATTCTCGAAAATTCACGTTACAATGACAAGAAAATACATATTAATATGAAGTCTATAAGTTATTTTAAAAAAGTCGTGTGCGTCATTGTAACTGGACCATTTCGGGAATATAATTCAAATCGGGTGATTTGTATAACGGAACAGTTTATACTTGAAAGTTAACGTCATTTTATATGGTGTCGCCATTGTCTCAATAATCACAAATATATAGGTATGGGGCTTTAGTCACAATACACGGTGTAATGGCTAATCTTTGTTCTGTCATTTCTAAATATTATTTACTTGTCGTAATTTCTACAACATGGTCCAGAAACATTTAACTATTTTACCTACTCATTTTTAGAACGTCCATGTTCCTGGAATTACGATTTAGTCTATTTACAATGCAATACTGTGTTTATTAATGGTTATATAAAAACTGTTGTATTATGGTGTATCCGTCGGGTTGTGTTATGGAAAATGTGCATGAAACCCATCAGAAACGGTAAGTGTTGCACACGTTATGTAATATTTGTAATAAAACCAAGAACATGTCGTATATCCAATTAAAAATTAAGGGTGTAGCATGAACCGCTTATATTTAAGGAAAGGGTTGCATGGCTCGTGTTAATAAAATATAATCCGATGTTTTAGCTTCCGTAGTTTTCCAAAGCACATCGCGGTCGGATACAAATCAGTTTCTTTTGCGAAACTATATGTTACTGTTTCATAAAATTATGTACACGGTTGTAACTTTATCTTGGTACTATGGGTCACTTGAATTAGGTTTAAATGCATTTGTAAGTTACTAATACGGCGCTAAAGTGACGATATGAAGTTTTTCCTAGAGCTACATCTATGCATTGTGCTTCCATAACTTGTAGTAAACAAATCCTACATAGTATCATAAGTTAAAGTTCATGTTCAGTCTTGGTAAGGGTTCTGTCTCCTCCAGTCATTAACACGCAACTTTATATCACAGCTTCTTCTTCTCTTGCTATCTCAAAGATCTCCGCTTTACTTTATTTCGTAATGGAGTAAAATTATCAATTCGTTGTACTTAAGATGTATTTTTATAATTTTTAGTGCATGACTTACTTATTCAAGTAATCACCAATAATTTTATTGTTTTACACACGAAGACATGTTTTTTACTGTTGCACTAAATTTTATTTAAATATATTTGTGTGTAGTGACTGGGGGACGTGGTGTGAGGATGTTGGATATATTCCGCTCGTTATAATGTAGACATACGTCACGGGTCACAATTTAAACTGCCAAAGCGTTTCGATTACAGTTATCATTCCATTTAAATATTTAAAAGCAAACTTTTTCGATGCGCTTAAAATTTGACAACTATGAAGCCGAAAATCATATTTCAAATGTAGTTTTATTGCATAGAACTAAGTTTTTTCCGTTTTACAGAGTTTTTGTCTCATCTTGTTAGCATCATGATGGTTTTTTATTATAATTTTAGTTGGATAAATATAGTGTATTGCGATTAGAAATAAAAGGTTACTTTACATGTTAGATGATAATTGCGAGTTTCTCTGGTTTGTGGTTGTGCTATTGTCTCTTATATGTACTATTTCTAAGGTCGGGAATGGAATGGATCTGATTTTTTGTTCATAAATTCACTTTAAACTTTCTCCTCTAGCGATTTATGTTGCTTGAAAAGTTTTATTTTGGGTATAAAGTATGATTTAATTTTATCATTCTAATGTCTACATTATAGGTGAATAAAGCTACCCACAATAAAATATGTTCTATATAATTAGCATTGTAATGTGGAAAATCAGTTTCATAATCCAAGTCTATCCAAGCTTCGTCGCGTAGATAGCAGAGGTACTTGTGAAGGAATGGTTGAACTAACACTCGATCGCTTGATCTGTCTCCGCTACAGTACAGTATCGTCCTATATGTTGTACTAACACACTTCTGGGTGAGTGGGCAAATGAGTTATTGGTAAGTTTTTATTAAATTTATTATAGATAGAAAAAAACCGACTTTTGTAACGCATTTTATAATAATGTCATACAAATTATAAGTAGGGGGTCCCGTCGTTGTGACGCACATTGTCATAAAAATGGTGGCAATATTCTAAACAATCATAATCATATTATATTCATGAACTAAAAAAAATGTATTTAAAGGCCATAATTATTCGCTGGCATTGGCATAATGATTAAAATATTGCATTAATAAGACAAAAATTCACGAAAAGACCGAGTAACAATGAAAACATGCAAGAGCGGACATCAGTTTTTTAATAGAGAAATCGTGCTCATTTTCTTAGGGCATTTGTTTATATAGATTTTATAATAAACTGAATACATACAGTGTAACATAGATTATACTCAGATTGTACATCAATCAAGCGCTTTTTTAAATTGAAATATAAAAATAGGCTGCACAATTTAACTTTGATAATAATAAAGACAATCGTGTTAGGTATAAATCCCTATAAAAATATACAGTTTAACTCTTCCTTCACAAGGTAACAGATACATAGCACAATCATGCCTCCTCCTAATGCTTTTAACGTTCCTCGTACGTCTAAGACTTTGTACAAACCTTTGGGACATAAATAAACCCCAAATAACGAACACTATAAGCACAGGCTTCATTATACATATAATTATAATAATTAATTAATATATGGGGCATAGTCGGGTATAAAAAAAAACTTTCAATAAATATTTATATAAAAATAATTAATTTATAACCTTCATTTCTAATGTAAATCTTTGGTTGCATTTTTTGTGCAAAATTTACATTTATTTAATAGGCTTTTTATAGCTATTTTGGCGTTTATATTTTAGCTTTGTTAGCTCTTCATTGCTTTTTTTATCTTTTATAAATAATATAGAATAGCAATACCTACTTTTTCTTTCGACAATCGAAATAATACTCTAATAATATCTTCTTAGAATTCAAACTAGCGGCTCGCTATGCCCCAAAGTACAACAACATACATTGTTTTGCTTAAAAATGCATGGACCGGTGACAGAATTAAAATTACTATGTCCAAGGGACTTCGAGGCTTAGTGTGTTGTAGAAGAAGTTTTTGTGCTTAACTAGAGGTAGGTCCATGGGTGTAAGGTGTTCCCCACTAGTGGCTGGGGCAATAGTGGGCACACAGTGTTGACAGTGTATTTAACATGAAAGCGTAAGTATCTATATCTATCATTTGTTGTGGGACCACATGAAATAAGCTCTATCTTACTCTTGATTTATCGCATTATTGCGGCCTCAATTGCGTTTCATTTCATTTAATTTTATATTATAAACTCATAATTTTAAAAACACGTTCTTAATTATAAACTTATAATTTTAATATACAATTATAATTTATTTTTAATTTTTTTGTGTGATATATATATTTAATTGTTCGTCCCCCCCTTATCCAATTGAGGTCGTAAACTAGTGGTGCTAAAAGTACTAGGGTTACTAGGCGTGCATAAGTTTGGTAAAGTCCGCAGACTGGCTTGGTGGTTGGCGGCATCAACGACGTGTGTAACATTACAGAGTATTGGTGTAAGTGCGCACTGCTTTGGTGAAGTGTTAATGCGTTCAGAGACCCGGTGAGTTGTTCATCTTGTTCTTAATAATTACATACTTAAGACAGTTGTGGGTATTCGGCGAAAGTACGAATTTTCGGATACTCAGCTTTGGGCTTCTCGGTTTCGGAATAGGGGTAATGGATTACTTTGTGTTTGTTATAATATTGTATTTATTATCTTTCTCCCTGAATATATTGGTAATTCTTATATTTTCGCCAAATATCCACATCTAAATCTAACCTACATAATTGTGTACGTCCCTATCCGTATCGTATGACGTCACATGGCACAAAATGCTTAGCTTTTCCTCTCCGAATTTCCAATTCGTATTATAATCGCTAAGCATTTTAGTATTAACTTAGTATCACAATAATATACATGTACGGGACTCTCATGTAGGCATTTATTGGGTTAAATTTAATGGGATAAAATTATATTATTGGTGTTTATTAACGCGACGTGAAGAAATAATTTTATAAATGTTCTGCCACACAGGAATAACATGAATGTTTAACAATAATATTAATTTTCTGCACGTCGTATGAATTGCACAGCAAAATTTAGTATTAAAGTAATTGTACCTATTTATCATTGAGACCCTTAAACTAGGGATTATAATCATACTGTGTGACTAACATATTGCATGTTTTATATATGACAAGAGGAAAATATTACTGATATCGTTCACTGTCTTGTCGGACGAGAATCTCCGCAATTTCTGTTACAATATTTGATGACATTCGCAGATGGCTCAGTGGAGTGTGATTGCGTCATAATAGGTACTAAGCTTTTTGTCAACTGCTATAGAACGACCTTATAGTGCATTCAACTTATAGATCAGGCAGATTACTATATTTTTAATGACCATTTGGGAGATGAATGAAAATTATTGGGCTCGTACTTTCCCCATAGTAGCATTGATTTCAAATGTTATAATTGATACTTTTACGTATCCAGATATACATGGGAGTAATCTGGAAGTAAAAATAAAAATGTTTCTGTTATTTAATCTATAACGAAACGGAAAATATGGGTCTAATATTTTTGTTTATCTAAATGATAGACCTTTTCTATTTTAACAATTACCTATATGTCATAAATTTATGACTTCTATAGCAGTTCAAAGAGCACAAATGAATAAAAAGCAGTACTTACATATTAGTGTGGTTTTAGTAGAAGACTTCAAAGTACAATGAGAGCTACATTAGACGAGTAGACTAGAACAAAAAGTATTTATTTAGCTTCACAATACAATACAAACGGTTACTTTTAGATCTATACTAATATATTTATACAAATCTTATGCTTTCTTCTAAACATCACATTCATTTTTGCCAAATTTTCAGCGAAGTGGATTATTTATATTTTAGTATATTTTGTTGATTGTTTCTATTATGTATGACAGCTCCACTGACCTACTACTACCCGGCGATGGGGCCCACGCTGCCACCCCCACCGCTGGTCTACTGGGGCTACCCCACACCCCCGGTGTCTCCAGCTCATTACTATCATCCCCCGCATCATCCTCAGACTATGGTAAGCAGGAATAACCAAGTAATTGATTAAACCGTCCACCATTTAAGAAAACTATAAGACAATTACAAAAATTGAATTATAACTTTCATGCTTAATAGTAGGACCTATAAAGTAAATATCTATGTATCCCTTATTCTGCGAAGCAATAGGAACTGAAATAGAACATTCTATTTTCAGCAGTGAGATATAACTTATAACATAAAGAGAATGAGACTTATAAGTTATAAATCTAATGAAATGAAACTTATCCTTACTTATTAACGGACGGACGGAACGGAGGTACAAATTAACGTGATTTTTTAACTGAAGGTAGTTGAAGATATGGATAGTCACATAGGCTACTTTTTATCCTTTGTGACGCGAGCGAAGCCGCGGGTAAAAGCTAGTAAGTTATAATATAAGTCTCATGTAGACTTTTTGAAATATACTGTTTATAACTCAACGCATTATGCTATTCCTGAGACTTAAAAAAACGAATAATGAACCCTAGACATTGACTTGAGACTACCCCACATTAACACTTATTTCGAGTAAACTATTCATAATTTTCATAAATTAATTTATGTCTTTAATAATTTGATATTAATTTCAGATTCCCGAAGTAGTGTCGGTGGGGGGAGGATCCCCAATCCCCATTCCACCACCAGCCGCCTGCCCAGAATGGCCAATATTCATGGTCAACTAAAACAACGAATAACGCTCAAGGCAATTATAAAATTTAATTTAATATACTTTATGATATCTATCATAGTTATAGAAAATTTTTAATAATTATCTATAGAGACTAGAGTATTCGAAATTTAATGTATGTATTGTATATTTTTATATTATATGAATGAGTTTTATTTGTTGACTTGTAACAAGTATTGTTTTGTAGATTTTATTAATGTTTTTTTATACAACAGAGAAATATTTGGTTAATAATGCCACCAATATAGTTTGTACCATCTTACTAAAAATCCAGTTACGACGGAATTCTATTATAAATTATTATTATTATTATAAAAAAAACAAATGAAACTCCTTCATTGTAACATCGTACAAACAAGTTTTTCGAATATATTTATCACTAAATATCCTTTTATCGTGTTTTAACATCACTAGTAGAACCGTTGGAATAGCTCAACTACCTTAGAGTGATTCTTAGATAAATTTTATAATATAATATTCAGATGTTATAATATATAAAAATAGGCACTTATAAGTTTAGTTATAAAACCTTGTTGCAACACTTATATTTTGTTAAAAAAAATAAAACGATCTACTTATTGTTGATCTTACAGATATTCTAGCGAATCTTAGTTTAATTTAGAATATATAAAAAATATATTTTTGTTTTTAGATTTTAATTAGAGAAAAGAATAAGAGTTTTTAAGTTATGATCATAGTTTATATGAAAATATGAAAAAAGATGCCTTATTTTATGGGATTCTTATAAAAACACTATAAAAAGGGCCAAACAACTCTAGGAAAGTTCCTCTTCATAGCTTCGAAATCTATCTGATATTTATTACTGAAACTCATATACCTATACAGCAGAGAAATTCAACAAGTATTAAGTCACAAAAAAAAAACAAAAAAACACTTGTTAGTAAAATTAAAACTGTCACATAATATAAACTTGGCTGAAACTTTTCTCACAAAATTTAAAAAAGAAATTTAAAAAATAGAATCTTATTTTATTTCTTTGCTGTGTAACCATACAACGAATGTACCACAGTGATATAAAGGTGCTGTCTAGTTATGTTTGTATAAATTAAACCAAATATATAATTTTATTGAGTTTATGTTAACTTAGATTAAGTCGACGCTCAATTAGTGAATAGTAATAATAATTAGTTTTAATTCCAACCAGAAATATGCCATAACTTATAAGAATAAACACCCTTAATATATAACAAAAAAAAAAGATTGAGATGATTATTTTAAATACATTAACTTTTAAGTCGACATCGACTTATTTTAAAGTTATTTAAAATAATGCTGCTCATACGAGTTATCGTTTGCTCATTCACATAAATGTAGAATTTAAAGTGATTTTATTTTTATGATGGAATGATTTTACTAAAATTTTAGTCAAGCCAAAATTGACTGTAGGACTAAAAATATTATTTAATATAAGACGAGATCAGTTTAATTAAATATGACTTGAGATATACTCTTTGTGTTCCTGAATTATCAAGAAGAGCGTACTAAGAAATATTTATTTAATACATCTCGAATTATTATTTAGTTAAGTTAATTTCATTTACATCAGAATGTCACAGGCCAGTAGAATTAAAAATGAAATTATATTTGACGGAACATCACTGTATTTCTCGATATTTTTGCTCGATTTTTAAGAAGCTCGAAGTTGCTCAAAATGTGAATTAGATTTTTAGTTCAATAATAGTCTCGAAGTTTATTTAGTAGTGAATAAGATTAAGCGACAAGAGTACTTAATAACTATTTGTGGGCAAATAATAATTTCAACAAAAAAATAACATCTATATACGACATTAGTATAATATATATGTACAATATTCCAAAGCAGCACATATATAACATAAAAACTTATAG